GAGCCGGTGTGCTGCTGCCAGCCTACACGTGGCTGCGGAGGTGGGGGCTGCTCTGCAGAGCTTTCCTGCTCCGAAGCGGAATGAACCACAGAAGTTTCCAGCGAGTGCCGCACACTTCAGCCAGGGCCCACTGCCAGGACCTTTTCACGCCGTATCTGATGAGCAAATATGTAAACATGTAACACACAGCATCTTGTTTAGAAAAGGTTGTCATCAATTGCTTGAAGTCAATTTCAAATGTTTTTACTGTTAAGTTCTCTGTTAAAACTGGTTAAATCTGGTTTGACTTCATTTCTTAATCGATTCCATCTTTTATGAGTCAGTGAGAGTCAGGTGATTAGTTGAAGTATTTGCAATGAAACATGCTTTTGCTGTGAAGATAGCTATGTGATTTTGCAAAGATCTCCATTACAAATAAACACGCTGATTGTCATTGGAAGAGAATTGAGACAAACAGACTTACATTTCACTCGAGAACTGAGCCATTTTCTCAATAGTAGTCATGTCCTTTAACATGGAAGAAAAAACTCAAAATTAGTGGATCGGTGGGGGAAATGCTTACATTACAGTGATTCTGAACCTTGACTGACTCTTTCTTCAGAACTTCTGTCAACTTCTACACAGTAATATTTGCCTTTGACTTAACTGGTGAGTCTCTGTGAAATTTGATACAAATAAATGAATAAAATAAAAATAAGCATCAAGAGATTGAGCTAAAAGAAGGAGGGCTTTTTCTGAAGGCTCGCCCACAACTTCTGACCTTTAAAACCCCTAAACCGACTAAATGACACCAACTACATCGGTCTTAAAAGGTATGCATGTTTTGCGTCTCAGACTGTGATCGTCGACAGCAGCATGAGCTCAGATAACATATAACATATAGATGGAACGGGAACTACTCACAGAGAGGATGCCTGTCATCTGAGTGTAGAACAGGCTGGACATGCCACCAAACATGACCACACCCATAAGCGCTGAGATTCGTAGCAGAGCCAGTTCATGACGTGTCGTAAACTTCTCCTGGAAAATTCAAACAAAGGCAGACGGATTGACTTTGAACTTACCACCCTCGTGTCATAGTATCACAAACTGGTTTTGTGGCCTTAATGGTATACCTGATCGAGTCTCGTCAATGGCTGAAAGTAATAGTACTGACAGAAGTCCAACACCAGAGTGAATAAGCTGAGGACCTGAGTGTAGAAGCACAGCTGCAGGAAGAGCCAGTGGTTGTCTTCTCCCACACAGTTGTTAATCCTGCAAACAGATGTGATGAAGAATTCAACCACAAATGGTTTTCTCTTTACCAGTACACACAGAAAGACTCCATGGCCTGAACAGCTTTCCTAAAAGATGGAAATTGTTGCATTTTTGATGAGATCATATCTTTTTGCAAGGAACAGGAACATTTTCTGGAGTCAGAATGGTAAAAAAAAAGAAAATCTCTCAGAATATCCTTCAACATACTGATATTTTCTGTCAGAAACTTTGGCAATAACAGTATATGTTGGTATTTCATGTAAATGTACACTATGTCCTCTTTTCTTAATAGATTCACAGTAGTAAATGTAGTCAAATCAAGATGTTTCCTGTTTTAAATTGTAGCTGGTTCCTCTGAATGTGTGCAGTTTGCATGCGTGGGTTCTCTCCAGGGACTCCAGCCTTCACCAAAAACATGTTTATCATGTTTATTTAAGCCTGTTTATTGGTGAGTGAGTGTGAGAGTGCACGGTTGTGTGTATTATTTGTCTCAGAGTAGGCCTTGTGATGGATCGATAACACCCCAATCCCCTGGTGACCCTGAACACGATGAACCCTGCAAGAAAGTGAATGAATATGTGTGCAGTTTGAGTTATATGTAAAATAACTCAGAGGGCCATTTTTCAGTGTTTAAAGACCCGCTAACGTCTGGCTTTTGGCTGCATTGTGTATGCGTTCCGCTCTGGGCTAAATTACTCTGCAGATGGTGCAGGTTTTTGTTCAAAGCCAGATTGCTGGACTGAGTAAAAACCAGCGAATAACCAGGTGGATGTCCGAAGTGATATTCATCAAGGATACCTTGTGGTCTGCAAGTGAGCGTGAGGATCCATAAAAGTACATATATGGCAAATAACGATAAGTAAAACAGTAGTTATTTAAAGTATCAGTATTGCAGACTAAAACAAACCAATATGAGGGGTTTCAGAATGAACACGAAAGCACCTGCTTAGCCTGCTAAAGCTACTGCTTTTATTTCCACTCATCAAACACAGTGAAATCAGAACCTGAGCATCTATCCTCACCAGGGACAGTGGTGGTCCATCCTGCGCACGCAGTGGCCGCAGCGGCTGCAGTGGTGTGACCTTTTAGGCCTCATTAAGTTGCACTTATTGCACAACTCCCAGTGCTCCCTCTCTGTGACAGGAAGAGACAAATCTGTAGCTCACGGCTGGACTCAACTGCTTGTAATTGCAAACACTTGATTAAGTAGGAACAGTGAGTTAGGCATGGTCAGTCAGTAATTACTTTATTTTCTGTACCTGAGTGAGGTATGTGGGGATCCAGGGGAAGACGGCCTGGGTCTGCGGTGGAAGCCCTGAACAGGGCTGCTACACAGAGAGCCGATGCTATGTAATAACCTTAGGAAATACACAGTGTTTAATGAGTGTGAACATCAGACTTATTTTTCCAAAACAACAATACCAACAAGGATACTCACAAACAACTAAGGCCCAGGAGATGTGTCCCTCGTCGTAGTGTGGAAGCAGAACAAGCTTGGGGATGAATACAGTGTTATAGAGCCAGATCCCAAAGACCATGCTGATGCACAGCCAGCCCATGGGATCCACCACGAAGTGGAGTCGAAGCTTCATAGCGGCCGCAGCTCCGGATGACTGGCTCCCTGCTGTCAGGGGAAACAAATCCAAAGCAAAGTTAGAACCTGAGAGCATCTCTGAGCAGGCTGTGGATCAATGCAGGAGTCAGACAGGGAGGGTGGGGTCTGATAGCAGCCGTCTGCATGGGAGGTGCTTGAAAAGAAGTCATGTAGACTCGTTTGAGACAATTCAGGCTAAGTGAAAAAAAGTTTCTATTGCTCTGAGTGGTTCAGATGTTAAGTTTCTCCCGGGTCAGTCAAACATACGTGAGCTGTTTGTGAATGAGGAAAAAAAAAAATCTAACGTCATGGAAACAGAATGCTCTTCTGTAAAGGCAAGCTTCTCCCCTTGTTGACATCATAAATGATGAAAACAGAATGTACCAGCGGAGCTACATTCACACACCTGAGCTGAGTCTCACACAGCAATCTATCGGTTTTTGGTCTCAAGCAAAGATTCTGCCACTGTGGGACTTCCAGCAGTTATCTGGATTCACTGGGAATGGAAACAACCGAAGGGGCTAACAGGCACCGTTCCCACCGGGTGCCCTCCTCCCGGCGCTGCTCTGCAAAAACTTTTCTCAAACAGTCTCTGCTGAGAGAGAGGAACTTGTCCAAAAGCCTGGCTGCGAGATGGGGAAAACTACGCCGTCAACACAAACAGCAGAGCAGAGAAATGAAGGCCCTGGAGGAGAGGCTACGTCAGCAGAAAGGAGCGACCAGAGAGGTCAGAGCAGAGCTGCAGGTATCCAGAGATAGATGTGCCACCTTCTGGGCCATGGTGGTGGAGGAACAGCAGAGAAGGCAGGCGGACAAGACCATGTTCAACAGTACTGAGCAGCACATGTCATCCACCTGTAGAACTCTGTCAAACAGTTGCGAGAGACAAAGCAAGCTAGTACAGGAGTTTATCCTCAGAGAGGCCTGGCTGGAGGCCCACATTCAGGAAACAGAGGAGGAATTTGAGGAGAATGTACGGAGACTGGAAGACACGATCCGGCTTAAGGACAACGAAATCTTCCACCTGAGGAGCCAAATGGACACCACGAGGCAGAGTAAGGGAGAGAGGGGCAAGCACGGTCTCGTTTTGGGTGACAACATCCAGTTGAGGAGCCCTGAGAACAAGCAGAGAAAGAGAGATAAGGAGGAAGACTCCTTAGTTGATGACTTGATAAACCTCTACTCGCAATTTTCAAGGGAACACGTCTCAGATGCACCAAAGCACAGAGAGAAGAGTCCACGCCAGGAGAGAGTGAAGATCAGGATCCCTCATGAAGAAGTTGCAGGTCCCAGCTATGTATCATCCGGATCCTCCTACTGGAATTCTGTTTATTTCTCCCATCACCGTGCGGACTTCTCTCCCTGTCCTGGCTCTGGCTCTGGCTCGCCATCACCCCCATTTTCCATCTACAGAGGCAACGAAGCACCCCTAGAGATCCAGCCACGTCAGTCTCCAGAAATAAAACAACAGAAATGATCCCGGGACTTTTTTTTATGTGCAGAAATATTCATATCAAGCAGTCACAGTTTCAAACACTTCAGCAGCAAGACAAATATCTATAACATAAAAGGAATATGTTTAACTAACTGTAGCATAATCGCATAGATTAACATGGACTGCAATCGTTTGAAAGTCTATTATGGTCGTCTTCTTAGTCTTTGTGTCTTTTGTTTTGGGTCTTCTATCTGAACCTCCGCCTAAGCATTACAAAAGTAACCTTTAGGTGGGTACAGGGTGAGTGTTGGGGAGGAGATGCTCTCTATAGAGCTGGACCTTCAGGTGTTTCTAGAAGATAGACTGGTTTTGTATTGAGTGTTAGAACTGGTTTCTTTGTGTTTACTTTGAGTTTTATTTCTACACTGAATTCATGTAACTTATTAATTGCCAGTGGAGGACAAAGTACAGAGTTCCATTATTTTAGTCAAAGTACAAATCGTACTGGTCAAATATTACTCCAGTGAAAGTAAAGGTAATTCTGTCATATTCTTACTGTTCTTATCTGCTTATACAAAATACTTAAGAATTCAAAGTAGTATACTTAGAAATCTTTTTTTTCTTTCAAACACCTAGTTTACAGCTGCGTACTGCTGCTTGCTGTACAGTACTGTGTAATCTCCCAGCGTGTCAGTGGGACAAAATAGAGGCAAACTACATTAGCAAACATGATCAACAAAGTAATGAGTAGCGAGAGCCTGCAGAGGAATGTAGTGGAGTAAAAAGTAGGATTTTTACCGATGACATGTAGTGGAGTGAAAATAATATGTTTTTTAAAAAGATGCTACTCTAGTAAGGTGCAAATTCTGGAAGGACAGGACTAAAGTAAGTTCACTTCGTCACTATCCACCTCTGCAAATAGTTCTATTCATTCTAGACATACTCTTGCACTGAACTCATATAACCTCCCTGGTTGTCCTCCCTGGTTCCTCCTCCTTCTCTGCTGCATTAGACACCCGTCTTCAAGGACAACACTCACACAAACACATATTTTCATCACATTTCAGTGGAATCTGCATTAATCAGAGCTGTCCTGTTCATGTCACGGGTTACTGGCCAGTGAGCCTCAGCTGCTTTACGTCCAGCCTTTCTACTGTACGAAAAGATAACTGTCCTTCACACCCGGAAATGGAGGCTCTCGCTGGTTCCTCACGGAAGCTCCGTCAGTCTGAGCCGAGCGCTGCATTACTTTACCTGTGACCTGAATAAATGACACATTTGTACTCCGGTGATTTTATTCTCAGGCTTCCAACAAAAGAATCAGGCTAACAAGAGAGAGTAAGGTTGACCGTCCCTTCTCCCTTTCAGACGGCACAGTGGTGTCGCAAGAACAGCTATAAAATCATTATCAGTTCAACTTTCAGCAGTAGTTTAAATCAGGTTATATCTTATTTCTCCATCTTCCTCCAGTTTGTCTGCCTGTCTGCTGTTTTCCTGTATATCACTTACCATCCATATTTTCATGTTAATATTCAATAACCAACCATTTATAGCCAACACATTGCCGTTTTGTATGTTTCTTTAGGTAATTACCAAGAAGAGTTACAACTTTCTATCAGTGTGTGAGAATGATTTAAAACAAACAGTTTTTTTCCTTCTAGAGGGAAAAGGTTGCCCCCTTTTATCAAGGGTTATTTAACACACACATGTGAATGCTACATAATTGATATATACTTTGAATTGGAGTGCAGTTAAACCACAAATAGGCAGAGTTTATAGGAGGATGCACATAAATACCTATTATGATTAACAATCTGACAGCTTTGTGTTTAACTTTAGTACTTACACATCAGGTCTGAGAGCTGTTTCAAGGTTTCCTTAAAGAGACATGCATCGAGTCACTCTCTGCTCTTTAAAGAAACCTTGATGACGTGTTATAAGAGTCATTATAATTCTTGTGTGAGCAGGTATTACCATTAGTTTGCATGGTATGTGAAGGTGTTTGTTTACTTTCACAAAATCAGTACGTTTGGGTGTAATAAACTGATAATAATCATAGCTATTCTAATGTCTCATCTAAAGCAAAACAGTAGGACTAAAATGGCATTAACAGGTAAAACAGTATCACGTTTTCTGAAAATGGTCAGGGAACAGATCCACAACACAGGCCCACAGTAACTACTGTGTAAGAAAGCAAGTGTCTGTAAACAAGCCCAGTCAACTGTTTTTCAAATACTCAACACAGATTTAGAATTTAAGCGTTATTCATCCTCTAATTCATTCAGAATGTGCATGCAGAGAATGCTGAACCCGAGATATGGATTAAGGTCTTGCGATTGTAAAACCTCGCCTGTTCCATCCTTCCCACTCCTGATAACACTGGGCTGGGCTTCATAAGGACACTGAGGAGCTAACAGCCCGTCTGCACACCCGCGCTCCCGGGTACAGATTACAGGAATCTAACAGCTCAGATTACTTGTTAGTCTTTATTTTAACACACCAAAGCGACTTACTTTCTTCAAGATGTTCTCGCTGTCCCCAGCAGCTACTTCCTCATCCAAGCCTCTGTGGGCTGACAGGACCTGTTTCTGATACCTGTCCCCAAAATAAAACTACTTCCGCTCAACGGAAAAAAGAAAAATAAGACGTTTGAAAAAAACGTTACCAAAGAAAACCAAGAAGCAAACACGAAATGTGGAACATTTCTGGGCCGTTTTGTTTTGGAGTTGGAGATGTTCTTATTCTTTTCTGGTTGAACAATTACAATAATTCAAACAGTAACAAGGTTCAGCACCTTGTCAAGGCTAAAATGACCATAACTCTACCCTAAAAAATATATTAAAGACGTGATACACTGTTGTCTGGTGTGGAATTTTTAAAAAGGTTATCTTTTAGAAAATGTGAGATTTTTCAGACAAATAAAATTAGTAGAAAAGATTTCCCTGTAAATCCAGTTTCTAGTATTGAAATGCAGTGACAACCAACATGATACTGAATAATACATTTGTCATTACACCTACATCAGAAATGTCACCTGCCCATTAACTTTTGTTTGTATCTATTTAGGATACGCGCAGGTACAATCATTCTCCTCAGAGTTACCGATACTTCACTCATTAACTTAAAAATGTGTTTTCGTTTTAATTTCAAAGGTAAATTTGTGTGCTCAGTGACGCAATTCCACGTCCGCTAGCATTGGCGGCGGAGTGTTTGTTGACAGCAACGCCGCTTGGCTTCATAGCTTCACACTGCTGTTGTAGTGTCCATTTTAGTCGGAGAAAATGGCATCGTCTAACTCGTACAAGCTCAGGTGTTCCATCCAGGGTCATGAAATGGATGTGAGGGGCCTCGCAGCCGCTTGTTTCCCAGAGGGAGCTTTCATTTCGGTGTCCAGAGACCGAACCGGAAGAGTCTGGGTCCCAAACTCAAGGTAGCTAGCACTAGCGCTAGCTTCCTGCTGACTAACTGTGCTGCTTAGATACCATTTCTTTCACTTGAGAAAATGTGTGGACAGAAAATATGTGTCAGACTTAAACTTAGTAAACCAAGTAATCTTCCCAATGATCATTTAATTGCCATTTGTCAAAAATAAAAACAATCTTAATGACAAAGTTAGCTTGTTAGCTAACCGTTGCTGAAACAGCTTTGTCATTCATTGAATTGGTATTGAACATAATCCCTACTTTTGATAAAAATGCTTGGTGCTAGAGTAAAGTAGATACATTTATTGTGTTGTAAGAGTCTTTTTATCCATCATACTGATTACTGTGATTGATCAACAATCTACAGATATTTCTGCTCAATAAGTAGATCCTTACTATGTTTCCCTTCTTTCCACAGCCCGGATAAAGGCTTCACTGAGATGCATTGTGTGTCTGGACATTCAAATTTTGTGTCCTGTGTTTGCGTCATCTCACCTAATGAAACATATCCTCGGGGACTGATCGCCAGTGGTGGAAATGATAATAACATTTGTGTTTTCACACTGGATCAACCACAGCCAATTTTCACCCTTCAGGGTCACAAAAATACAGGTAACTTTTGTTTTCTGTTCACCATGACTTGTAAATTATTAGTCCTGGTTTGCACTTATTCGTGAAACCATCTGGTGCCCTGACCGAGACTCTGATGTTGCCATATCTCCTCAGTTTGCACTCTCTCATCCGGGAAGTTTGGAACACTCCTGAGTGGCTCTTGGGATACTACAGCCAAAGTTTGGCTCAATGAAAAGTGCATGATGACTTTGCAGGTATGCCAAAGCTGCTGTGATGGTTAATCTTTCTCAGTTTTCTGTACAATCCTGTTTCCGATTCTACTGTATATTCAAACAGACAGTATGCTTTGAAAATGCAGACAGCATGTGTAAGCGTAAATATAACCAGGGGAACGTGACACCATGGTGTTCTTGGTAAATTTGCTACAGGGTCACTCTGCCGCGGTGTGGGCTGTGGTCATCTTACCTGAACAAGGCCTTATGCTTTCTGGATCAGCCGATAAGACCATTAAGCTTTGGAAGGCAGGCCGATGTGAAAAGACGTTTACAGGTGAGTGTTTTCCAAAAATGAAATCAGTCTGTCATTTTTACTTGTGTATTTTAATAACTGTGATATGCAGTGTCTGTAATTTGATTGTTTTAGTATAAGTGTGGGTAAACACATGCCTGCTAATAGTTTATTGATACACTTAGTTGTGTAACAAATACTATAAAAATATATTTCTCATGATTACATTTGTAGCACTCGGGGAATGCACAAATATCCATGGTTACAGTCTTACAGTTATTATCACTTTATTACATGTACAAAATTCATCTGCTGAGATATTCTTAAACAGAACTTTGTGTTTATCATGTACTTTGAAAATATAAAGTATGAGTACAAAGTTGTTTGATTTTTTCCTTCCACTTTAGGTCATGAGGACTGTGTGAGAGGGCTGGCGGTAATCAGCAACACTGAGTTCTTCTCTTGCAGCAATGACACAAGTATCAGAAGGTGGCTGGTGACCGGCGAATGTGTGCAAGTCTATTATAGTCACACTAACTACATCTACAGCTTAGCTGTCTTCCCCAATAGCCAAGGTTTGTTTGTTGTGTTTTCAATGAAAGCATCAGAATGGAGAACAACTTTGTTGTCCTGTTCTGTAAATTGCTGTTTGGCTGCCCCAGACCTCATGATACTTTCTGTTTAGATTTTGTAAGCACAGGAGAGGACAGGACTTTACGGATATGGAAGCAAGGCGAGTGCTGCCAGACCATTCGGCTGCCTGCCCAGTCTGTCTGGTGCTGCTGTATTTTGCCTAATGGTGACATAGCCGTCGGTGCGAGGTAACTGAACCATCTGCAAGTCGGTGCATGCAAGGTTTCCAGATGAACACGGCATGTAGTGCCGAGGCTAACTCAGATAATGCACCTCTGCCCTCAGTGATGGGATAATCCGGGTCTTTACGGAAGCTGAGGACCGTGTGGCTAGCGCAGAAGACCTGCAGGCCTTTGAGGACGAGCTCTCCAAAGCTACCATCGACCCCAAGACGGGGGATCTTGGAGACATCAAACTGGAGGATTTGCCTGGAAGAGAACATCTTAATGAGCCAGGTAGAAAAATATCATTTTATTATTACTTTAATTTATTTAGGAAAAATAATTGTCTTTTATCAATGGATCACGACAGTTTGGCTTCCTACTTTCATTCAGGGAATCGTGACGGGCAGACGCGGTTGATCAAAGATGGACAGAAGGTGGAGGCGTATCAGTGGAGCGTCAGTGATGCTCGCTGGATGAAAATTGGAGACGTGGTTGGAGGCTCAAATCAGCAGACCTCCAAAAGTGTGATGTATGAAGGCAAGGTAAAAAGCAGCAAGCTTAGCACTAATAAAGTACCACTGTGTGAGTGCTGTGATCAACAAACGCCTGTCTGGCCTCAGGAGTACGACTATGTCTTCACCATTGATGTCAATGAGGGGGGGCCTTCCATGAAGCTGCCTTACAACATTAGCGACGACCCCTGGCTGACGGCACACAACTTTTTACAGAAGAATGACCTCAGCCCCATGTTCCTCGACCAGGTTGCCAATTTTATCATAGAGAACACCAAAGGACTTGTGGTGGGACCAGCCCAGCCTGCTGGTGGTGACCCTTTCACTGGTAAGGCCACCGGATTGCTTCTCTTTTCCCAGAAAGAGTTAGTTCTGTAAATGGGATTTTCACTCCAGCATTGACCAGATCTCTTATATTCCTTAAGTTGCTGCACATTTATTTACTTCTTTTTTTAACTTATTATTTGCAAGGTGGTGCTCGATATATCCCAGGTGCATCTGATGATATACCAAGTTTTGGAGCGGATCCTTTCACAGGTACAGAATGGTCACTGACAGCCTTTTTTTCTTAGTGTGGACATCAGTTGCATCATCGTTGCTGTTGGGTTGTTTTTTTTTTCTGACAGGCACTGGTCGCTACATCCCAGGATCAGACTCCAACACAAGTGCTCCTGTAGGTGTAGCAGATCCATTTACAGGTGATTTACTGACCCACCTCTCAGCTCAGAAGAAAATTAGACGATGGGGTCAAAGGGTGTCTCTAACGGCAACAAAGAAACACAATCACTCAACTGATTTTAGTTTTAGTCTTTAAATTCGAAGAAATGTATGATGATACCATCATTTGCAAGGGTGCAGAGTTAAGAGGAGTAAACGAAAAAATTAGTCCCTTCAGGGGAAATGGGGAGAAATCATCATCTTTGGTGAGATCCATTTTTTTAGTAAGCGTTTTAGTCATGGCTACTTGTTCTTAATGCTCAGAAACTAAAGAGAAATCCTAAAAGTACAAAAAAATCAAAAAGTTGATTTTTAAGCAGAGTAGAATTCAGCAGAATTTAGTTTGATGGCGTTCAGTGCTGAAGGTTGGTATCCATGCTTTTTAAAGCTGTAAGTCAGATTTCTGCATGAATATCACAGCTGCCAACTTCACTTTGCATAATGCAGTGATGACTGTGGTCTGATTCCTCTGGAATAAATCCCAGCACAGTAGCTGAGACGGTTGGAAACTCTTCATTGGTACACTTGTGTCATGAGTGTTTTCTCAACAACAAAACAAGACTTTCTTGTTGAGCTTTGCTTTCATTGAATGATCCTTCAACCTCTGCAGGAGGAGGCGCCAACTCTGCAGCCGCCTCGAGACAAACATCCACAAATATCTACTTCCCCAAGACTGATGGCGTGACCTTTGAGCAAGCCAATGCCTCTCAGATCATTGGTAAGCATCTTGAATGTACCAGCCACAACGTGTGTGTAGTAAGCAGCATTCGGGCCGGGAAGTTGATGTGCTTCTTCATTTACATCAATATTTTTTCAAAGGAAGGAACATTTCCCTGCATTTAAAGGGTTGCAGTCTTATTAGACAATTCATTTCTGAAGTAACATTGTCACTGTATACTTTTCCCCCTCTCTCATCATGCAGAAACACCCCTACTTTTCTTGTTGTGCTTTTAAGATTTTGTTATAATTCCCATTTCCATGGCATTTGCTAAACAGTCCATCTACACTGTTAAAGTTGCCACTCTTTTTTTTCTTTTTTTGATTTATCCGTTCGTGTTCTCGAGAGCAGCTATGCATATAAGCCAATTTTCTAGAAGTTACTTCACTGTAAGCACAGCTGAAATCATTTGGAGACTCATTACAACCTATTCATTTACAAAATGGACCATCTGATGGACTTGTGGTTAATCTACGACTCTTTGATAAGCTTCACCTGCTTTCTATGTCAGATACTGCAGTGCTTAATGGCATAGCACAACTCTGAGCTGTACAAAATCTTTACTTTTGTGGCCAGAATTGCTCGAAACAACATGTTTTTCTATATAATTTTTCTTTTTTTAACCAGAATGTGTAAATGTGTCATAATTGTATTTTCACCCGGTCGATCAAAAGGTTCTTTGTTGCATTTTAACCGAGCATTTTGATCTTTTCTGATCAGCCAAGTTGAAGGAGCTGAATTTAGGTGCCCCCCTGGAGCACAAGCTCCCTGAAGACACTTTGGAAAGCCTTGAAAGGCTGTTGCTGTCTGTTTGTGGGCCAAACGCCTCAGAGCCTTCTCCAACCATCCAACAAATCAGCCTGCTCTGGAAGGCCTCACACTGGCCTGAAGGTACAACTCCATCTTACAGTTTGTTAAAACGTTTGTCTTTAGTATTTGATACGTTATATGTTTTCTGATATGACATAACAAATGTCTGCTAACAAAGCCCCTCCTCAATCCTTCCATGTGTGTTGCAGACATCGTGTTTCCTGTCCTGGACATTTTGAGGCTGGCAGTGCGCCACCCACAGGTTAATGAGAGTCTCTGTGGAGAGGCAGAGGGAGTCCAGCTGTGCAACCACCTGCTGAGCCTTATGAGGCCAGAGGGCCGTCCTGCAAACCAGATGCTGGCACTGCGGACTCTGTGTAACTGCTTTAGTGGCAGGCATGGCCGAGCTCTGCTCATGGTCCAGCGTGAAACAGTGCTATCACGTGCTGCTGACCTGGCTGCCGTCTGCAACAAGAACATCCACATCGCTCTGGCCACTTTGGTGCTCAACTACGCCGGCTGCCTGCACAGACAGCCTGATCTTGAGGCCAAGGCTCAGTGTCTATCTGTGGCCAGTAGAGCCCTGGAGACCGTTCAAGACAAAGAGGCTATATTTAGGCTGTTGGTGGCTTTGGGAACCACTGTGGCCTCTGACCAGACAGCGCAGGACTTGGCACGCTCTTTGGGTGTCTACTCTCAGATTTCCAAATACTCATCAATGTCAGATCCCTCTAAGGTGTCTGAGTGTTGCCAGTTGGTTTTAAAAGAGCTAAACTGATTTGAATGATTTGAAGAAAAAAAGAGAGTACTGCTTTCTATTACTCTGTTCTTCTTAATCAGTTGTGGGAATGAAATATTGAGCTTGTATGTACTTCAGATAAAAAAGAATGAATAAAAACTTTCCATATGCAAAATATGTTTTTTTTCTTACAGCAACACAATTCAAAAGTTCCATGGCTATTTATTTTGTAATGTTTGATGGAGTATGATGGTGTTTTATTAATATGTGCCAAACCCATATTTGTCAGATAAAACAGCTCCTGTGTGTCAGGTCTGTCAGTTATGCTGTCATAATAAATTTAAAAAAAGCTTGCAGGGTATTGTGCCTTAAGGAGAAGGGCTGTGATACCGTACATTGGTTTAAATAAAAAGACACAAAATACATTATTACTGTCTATACCCCTGATGGTCATGAGCTATTGCTTAAATGGCAAGGACAGAATGTTTTATGCCAGAGGATCGCTATCGCTAAAATGTTGTTTTAGTGAATTTTTAAAACAAAAAAAAAAAGTTTAAAAATACTTTTTTTCAAAAATGAGAAAAGGTTAACAGAAAAAACGGGACTCCGGAAGTTGTTCTTAACAACATCCGGGTAAAGATTGAAAAAAAATTGGCGGTTTGCATGTACTCTTTCCTCGTCCCATGTGAAATGATTACAAATGCCACCTCAAACAAGGAGTTTTTTTTCTAACTTAAGTTCTTATAGGTTGTTTTTTGCTCTGCCGTTTATTTCCGTCAATGGTAGTTTATACCCAAGCGTGTTAGCCTACCAGTTAGCTGACGTTGAACTTTGCAGCTAGCGGGCTCGCTTGGGCGAGGACATCGGTGGACGCATTTCCCGGTCCCTATTCCTTCTCAGAGTTATGGCGAACTCGATGTTAATGCTGAAAGAGAATGGACAGTACTTGTGGTTTGCCCTTCTTGGGCTGGGGTTTCAACCGGACGTCGCAGCCTCATCAATTAAAAACTCAAAACATCTCAACTTGGGGCCGTAAGTTTTGGAGTTCTTGTTAAGATGGCTACAGGTTTTTGTTCAGTTCGTCTCAACCATGTTGTCCTACTCTGTGAAATGTTAATGTTTTTCTGTCAATAGGAATATGTTTGAAAAACCAAACAAAGACGCCTTCTTCATAGTTACCCATTTCTTGTTGGAAAAACTCAACCCTTCTCGAGTCCATGAAGCATACAGGTATTATTATGTAACTTGATTTAATGTTGCTCTCAATATCTACCTCTTATTAGTTCATTGACATCGAATTATCACTTATACGTTTATACAGGCACTGCTGGCCAGTTTTGAACCACAAAGCAGATGCTGAGTTCCGTAAGGTTACCTGTGCTTGGCTACGAGAAATAATGGTAAGAATTTAGAGTCGATTAATAAAGTATTGCTTCCTAAGTGGTATGTGGCTGTAACTCTCTCAAACTCAAGCCCACATGTTTTGTCATCTGTGTAGTTAACGGTCATACTTCGATAAAGTCATGTTTCTATCTGATAGGAACGTAGCTTGATTTATTGCTCCCTGTTATAAGCTTTTATTAATTATTCTAATGTTTTGCAGGATGAAACGGCAAATGCAGGATCCAAAGTAGTGGCCTCCTTGTTTCTGTCTCCGGGAGGCCCAAAGTTCCTGAGCTTAATGGTCCATTTAGCAAGCCATGTCCTCCTGCAGGAAATGAAGACATTCACTACAGGTACGATATTCTAGGGCACGTCTTTATTTGAATCACTGGTAGCTTATATTCACACTGTTCAAAGTCCAAGAATACGACACAACATTGGAATCATTTAAAATGTTATCATTACCAGATGGCAGCTGGGTTCCTGAAGTAGCAGCTGTGCCAGCCTCCACCTTGGACATTGCATTAAAACGATTGAATCTGATCCGTAAAAGGTTTTTAAAAACGGCAGTTGATCAGGACCGTTTTCTCCATAGTTACCAGAAAAAAGCCCAGTAAGTCGTTAATTCTTCATCTTTGCCACCAGACAGTTACTTATTGTATACATCAGGTTTACTTACTTAGGTTATTTTCTTTTAAGCTTTGTAATGGAGTATTACACAAAATCTTTGAACATTTTTAAAGGCAGGTTAGAGCAAAAAAGCCTACTTACTCTGATGTACTTAAATCTAGCAACAAAGAAAAAAGTTTTATTAACTGATTTTTTTTCCATTAGCCTTGCTCTAAATCCACGTATTAGAATAGTTTATATTCAAATTTAGTTTTTTGTCAATGTGTTACTCTGGCCTTTTGTGTTTAGCCTCACCTGTTTGACATAAAGTTTGATTAATGCAGCCATTTTGTAGCTGCTTAAGGTGAATGCAATCAGTGACTTGCATCGGACATTTGGATCCTTTATCACTGCAGCAGCAGGTGAAGGGTAAAGTGGTTTCTATTGCTTTGACTTTTAAATATCAATGTCTTTTATTAGGCTTCTGGTGAAGTCCATAAGGGATGACAAAGCAGAGGGGGCAAAATATGATGAACTTCTTAAGTATGTATAACCCGTAACCTGTTTCTCAAGAATTACATTTTTTAAGTACTTTGAACCATTGACAACTACTAATTGTGTCACCTACTTTCAGGAGTTTTAAATCTGAGTCTGCACAGGATGAAGCTTCTTTAGCCGAGAAGTCAAAAAAGGTTTGTATTCATCTTTTTTAAATATGGGAGACATGGCCTCTCTTGGATTAAGGTTTGGGGCAACTATGTCAAATCTCATGAAGGATATTAGTTAACACTTTGTTTTTTAACTTTACAAGGTGCGCTCCCTGTGGTCAGACATCACAGAAATGATGTGCACAATCAAAAAGGAACAGAACGCAGTGGAAAGTGTCTTAAAGGGGGATGTGGATCGATACATCTTGGATGGGGAGGATCGTGTCCTCAAAATTCCTCGCTGTCTGTTGGAGAGAGTTGAACAACTCCCACATCAGGTGAAAACAATTAAGTTAACGAGACATCTCAAACAGGGTCCAGATTTATTAGGACAAAATGAGCATTTGTTTCCTTTCTGAAGAAATGGGAAAGACAGAGCTACACTCCCAAGACAAATTTAAAATGGCATGGCCAAATATGACTGAAAGGTTATGCCAACCACCAAGTGTAATCTGTCTGGTTGTGATTGATTCTCAGATAACTTCAGGGAATATGTATGAAGCTGGCCAGCTGAACCTCCATTTTATGATGGAGCTGATGAATCAGGCGTTGCAGCTGCTGAAGGAGCAATATCGCGAGATCACGCCTGCCTCCAAACCGCATTTCTGTCCTCAACTACTGAAGGAGAAGAGCCAGCAGATGGTCCGTGTGCTGCAGGACCTCCGTCTCATCAGGTAGGCAGCTGTTGCTCCAGGAGATGCGCTTCTGAACTGGATTCGGACATTTTGTCCACATTGTTGGATGTCTGTGTGTTTGTGGTTTCAACTACTTTTTATGTGGAAGTGAAAGAATATCCTATTGGCTGTCATCCCTACAGGGAGAAGATTTCTAAAGAGGAAATTCCAATAGTCAGGAGTGCCATTAGAGAGTTGGAGACAGACTGGGACAGAAGGTGGATGAATATTGTGAAAGATGCGTCCTCTCTCTCTCTCCTCAATGAGGATCCTGTGAGTGGCACAATTGAACCTTTTGTCTTTCAGAGTCACCTTCTGAAATAAAACAGACTGCTGCTGTTTGAGATTAATTGGCAGTTATTTTGTGTTCAGGTTCTGGGTTTCCTCTCACCAATGGCCCCTCTGTCCTTTGAACCAGCAACAGAAACTACATACAGAAGTAGCATCTTCTCTCAGTATCCTGCAAAACTTCCAGGTGAGCAGTCAGACCGCATTTTGGGCTGTACTTGAATTTTTATTTTTTTCTACTTAAATTTTCTTTTTCCTTTTTGTGCATTCTCATTTAGATGAGAAGCCTTTGGAGGGTGAATTTAAGAAGGTTGCCAGCACCAACAATTCTTACATCAAAAGGTAATTCTACTTTCAACAAATGTTAACTTAACTACTTGAAATAGTCTTGTTAAAATGGGTGTGTTGGTGGTGATGGGAGGCAGATACCTGGACAGTGCCAAGCAGTGCTCTGTCTGTCACTGGTCCTCCCTAAAGCATCAGTGCTCTCTGATGACCGCGGCGAACTGAGAGAAATCGCCACGGACAGATACGGAGCAGACACTGGTTAATCCATGACAAATACAGCAACGTATGACTGCAAAGGCCAGTTAAGTCATAACCTCATGACTTGACATGAGGTTTGACATTTCCATCTCAAAGACATGTAACATGTGTCTTTATGTGCATGAATTTTCAGTTATGTTTGAAATTACTTGTTTTCCATAGTGTCAACTTGTTAAACGGCTGACATTTTGTTTTTGCTTCAGACTCAACATTTAAGTCGTCCACTTTTGTGTAATCTATGACTGCAGTAGTGGACTACAGTGAAGACTAGAGCGATTCTTACCGCTAGCTGCATGATCTTATTTTTACTGGGGAAATTGCCCTGTCCGCAGAATATACTAAATAACCAACCCGTGTCTTTATGCAACAGTCCTTGCCCCACAACCGTTAAAACGAGGGAAAGTCCTGTTCCCACTGAAGCATCACGGGCCAACACTTCTCTGGACTGGCTTTTTGACACGCCTTCATCTCCTCCTCAAAAGGCTCCACAGCCACCACCACCTGAAGTTGGGGCATCATTTCAGGTAACTACCAATTTGGCTAAGGTCTAATTTTTATTGGATTCACAGTTTTTGTTTTGTGCAGAAATGATTAAAAAAGTACTTTCCTATTAGGCCAGCATGAGGGAAACTACTAAATCTAATGAGGCTCCCAAGAAGACCAAGACTCAGATTTTAGACTTGGAATATGAAAATCTTGCTGATCAGGTATTTTTATTTTTAAATCAGTGGAGATGACAAAACTTTAACAGTTTTTAAATAATACATGCTGTATAAATGGGTGTGTTCTTAGTTTGCAGATGCTGTAACCACAGCAACTCCTTCAGATGAAAGGGTTAAAAGTTTGGACTTGGAGTGCCTTCTCAACACTCTTCAGAGAGATCCCTTCTCCACGAGAAAACAGCTGCCCCGCACGCCAGAGAGTTTGAGTGAGTTTGGGGGCAACTTCCACTTTTATTTATTTTAAATACATTTAGTAGGGATTTTGAGTTGCTAATGTTTTTTGTTTTTTTCCTGTCTCCAGTTATAGATGTGAAAAGCTCCTGGAGAAAGGCAGTTGAAGAAGATGAAGCCAGTAAACTGTGTCAGACTTCAAACCTGAACAGCAGCTTAACTGAGCTGCTCAGTCAGCCTCATACTGCTGCTATAAGCACTGATGCTCCCTCTCAGACTGCCTCCTCTGACCCCATCATAAGCCAGCACAGCCCCTCTGCCTGTCAGCGGGGGGTCTTACTTAAATCCACTCTCTCATGGGACACTTTCAACATGGAGGCCATCGACAGCCCGAGTGGCACCGGCAGCAGTGCTGTTCAGTTCAGCCTCGATCATGAAACCCTCCCTGAAATGGCAAGTTGTGATAGTATGAACTTTGAGGATGAAGCTGTGGATTTGAGGAGTGAAGAGGATGAAGAGCTACTCTTGCCCTCTCTACAGACCAAGTCAAAGCAATCGGCATTAATCACAAATCTGGGTCGGGTCCACCAAGTTAACAATGACACTTCAAGGGAAACTGAATGCCTTATGGCAGACTACAGGCTGCCTGGCTTGGACAGGGATTTACTAATGGAACCTGTAGAATCGGTGGGAAAAGCAGACAAGATTTTTTCACTGGACTTGGATTCACTGGAGACACCTTCGACCCCTAAAACGCAGGAATACAGCCTCCCCAAACTAATCACATTCTCACCTGTAGATGACAGGAAGTTTTAGAGCTCCTCATTGGGGCTTTCTTATTTTTCCTGTTATTTCCTAAACTGTAGATAAATTTCAAGACATGGCGTGTGTGTATATAGCTGTAAATTAAACTATTTGATGAGCAAAACTTTTTATAATGTTGAGGTGTCAACTGTTCCAATAAACAGATTAATAAAGATTGCTATTGGTTGGTCTTTGTTTATAGATCCATTTGGGGGAAGAAAAAAAACACTTAATATATTAATGTAGATGTACTTGTAATTAGCCGTTTTTTCTTTAGAATAGAAAAGTGAATTGGCAAAATTTAGGAGAACCTGAAGGTTCCAGCTCCATCAGTTGAGCAACCAGGCTCTGTATTCTTGAGTTTGTGCTGACTCCAGGATGCAAGTTCACCTTGCATTGTAGAGATGTAATATTCTTTTTTTTTTTAAAATTTTTTAACTTCGGTTTTTAAATTGATTTTTTTTTTCTGACACACCTGTGCCATTTGTGTATTTTCTCTGTCTTTAAGATGGGGGGCGTCAGAATCTACAGAATTCAAGTCAAAGTAAAGGCAGCAGTAAATGACCAGAAAAAGTAGGAAGTGAAGACATCGTGGCCTTTTATAGTCGATGGGATTCATGACAATGGTCTAGACTTTTTGTATATCAAGTAAGATACATGTCATGCTCTACCAAATAACTATTTTTGACCACTGAAGAAATTGCAACGCATTTGCGTCGCTGCTTTGCTAAACGTGGACGAGTGACGCTAACAGTCCAGCAGAGCTAAATCACACATTATACACTGGAATCACCTAGAATATGCATGTGGATATAAGAATAACTGCAAATGGCTGTAAAATCTGAGTTTCGTGAACACGCGTTTAACTGGGCGTCCTGAATACTTTTACTTTGAAAAGATTTACCGGAAATGCTACTCTGAACGCTCGCGAGCTTGCTGAGCGCTCGTGGCAGCGAGCCTGTGTCAGTTCCAGCGGACACAGGCCGTGGCCGCTCCTCAGCTCTGGGCGGCTCCAACCTGAAAGAGACGTTTAGGAAGAAAGCTCGCCGACAAAACTATCAGCGCGCACACAAACATGGCGCCCACCTCCACCGACAACTTCAGATGAACGTGCGGCAAAGAAGTGGCCTGCAAAGTTTGTTAGGAGTAATTCGAAGTGGCTTTATCTTCACCCCCTTCCTGGTTTATTCTGTTTTTGCACAGATACGGAATACATTAAGCGGTAAAACAGCAACTTGCCTACATGTCAACATCGTCTGGCGCTGCAGTGTAAACAGCTGGTAAGTGTTTATGTTATTTAGTGCACTCAAAGAGTTTGTCGGGAGCATTAGAAACGGCGCTGGGACTGTTGGGAGATGACTTTAGCTGTGAGCACCCGCTGAAAACAAGAAATGTCCCGCTGTTCGCTGCGCTCGTGCGGGCAGCTTCTGCACTTTTTCCCCCCTCACCGAGTGTTATCCAGCCACGGAGAGAAGCAGAGCCACGTATGGCTGCCCACTGGAGGAAATTCCTTTTGTTTTGTCCGCGGCGGTGTGTGTTTCCTACTTCGGAGTTGACCTAGTTCTGGGTCGGATGCAACAGTTGGGAACACAACACCGTTCCCCTCTCACTCCTCCTCCCGCTCTCCGGCCCTCGTTGACGCCACAGAATCGGACTAAGCGTCTAACCTTTAGCAGGTGTTTGCTCACAGACGCTCTCAAAACGAGCTTCCCGTTGGGATTCGGATAATGCTACTTTTTTTTTGGTTTGTTTGTAGGGAAGTGTTCGTGTTGATTGCAGACGAAACTGTGCTCATGATAAGGAACTGTCGGCCCCACTTCCTTTTCAGCGTGAGGCTGGGTTTTTATGCAGTTACCTTGTGTTTGTGCTCCGGATGTACTCATAGCAGATTATGAAACCAGCACTAAGCAACAAGTTTAACGTATAAGTACAGTTATATGTAGGAAAAGACACAGACAGCAGTTTAGACAGTGGTGTGAGGTGTGTTTGTGGTAAGGACAAATGCCATTGATTGCTGTACCAAGGTGCTCACATATCTATGCCTCAGCATTTGAAGAGTTGCCAACCGGAGCAGTTAAACCCCAAGGGTAGGAGAGCCTTCCCTCCTCCATATTTCCACCACGGTTTTGGTGATTCACGCCGTCTTTGTGGCCTTCTTGCCTTGACAGCCTTGGCACAAGTCATGGCAGAGCGGGCCCAGAACGTCACTTCTTTTGCATCGCACAGAGAGCATTGGTGTTTTGTGTTTGGCCACCTGATACGACGACAGGAATGCCACCTAATAACAGGATAATGGAGGCTTGTGGAGTGTGAAAAACATTTGAAATGGTTCTGTTAGAATTCACTGAGCCGTTGCCACGTGGAAACGCAGCAGTAAATTCTTTCTTGACCTTGGCTTGGCCTGACAGGAGCTGAAATAAGGGTAGTGCACTGAGTGGAGTATTTCTTTCCCTCCCTCTCTCTCTCTGACTGACTGACTGCTCCAGGCTGCAGGTACAAAGTGGGTCATGGCTGCGCCGTGGCTTTGTGTACATTGAACTTGCACTTTGTCACCAGGTCACCCAAAGGCTCTGTTTGGGCACCAAAAACAAGCAGTAGACGCCTTTGTGGGGCAAAACTAGTCGCCACAGATCAAAATCTCCCCTAATTATATCCTGTCTGTAAGTATAAATCCACCAAAGTACAATTAGACTATCCTTTAGTTTAAATGTTGCTATGTTATCAAGCTTAATCACCCCTTTTTCTACAGTAAGATAAAATCCACCCTGGCAGGTTTTGGTGCAGTGCTTCTGCAAATGATTAGTCTTTTTCCTATTTTCAATACCACTACAAAAAATCTGCATCACATATTGATTAAGGAAGATCTAAGTGGTCGATGCTCATTTGCAAATTTGAGACTGTGGATTCGACGTGTACCTGAAATAATCCATTACACATTGTTAATCAAATCTAACCAAAGATAAAGAACTTTTGATCCAGCCGGAGCCCATTTTAGGAAATCCATTTTATTCCTCTGGCCCATTAGTTTTTGTGCCAGTTGTATTCGCTCATTATTTCAGGGTCTCAGTTGTTGAAGTTAGTTAGTAAGACTAATGAGTTGCCCCCTTTCCATTTTCTGTAACTTGTAAAAAAAAACACGCTCTGTCTCTGGGCTGTCACGCTTGAAGAGGGAGGAAATCTTGTGACGTTTTTGTTGAGTGCGGCCTCGCTGCACAGAGCTGCTCCTCATTGTTTTACCTTTGAAAGATGTCTTGACCTGCAGGGATCCAAAAGGACAAAATGGATATTTTTCAGCTACTTTCAGATGGAGTTAAGGCACTAATCCCCGGGTTGCCTTTAAACTGTCCCATTAGCTTTGAGGCTGCCTTGACAAACTGCAGCTGGATGAACATTTGTCAAAAGAAAACTAAACTGGAGAGAAAAAATTAGTGGTGCTTGTCTTCAAGACTAAATCATTAATCAAGGACACTTCAGAATTTTGGATCAAATTGAAAATAACAAACCTTTTTTTCCCTCACAGCTTTAAAGAACTGTCCTTTTTTGCTATGTTGGGTAACTGTGACTTGCAAATTGATGGCATTCCTTTAGTCAGAGACTTTGGGGGTAAAGGCGTGCAGCATTCACTCCTGGAGGCTACTGTGAAACGGGCTGTTGCGAAAGCAACAAACTTCATTTGTTTTGTTATCCGTGCAATCTGGCAAACAAGATCCCTATTCTGTGAAGCCTGTATATATCAGTCCTAATATGAAATTGTCTGAATGAAACCAGCAGCGGGGTCTGAACAGATCGGAGGAGGTGGCAGAGTTCACTGCAGGGCTCATGGACACCATGGTTCCAGCTTATCTAACTTATCTGGAACCCTGCAGAAGATACCCTGTGAATGATTTGCCTCTTCCCTGCTCTGAATATGAAATATTTAAAAAGTGGAATATATTTTCAGCCTTAGTGAAGAGCGCCTGTGATTTATGTCGGTAAGAATGTGACCCAGAGTCTGTTTTTCAACCTGAAGACTGTCTGGGCTCAGCCGACCGGGCTGAGCTGTTTGTCTCATCAAATCACGCTGTTATAAATTAGCAAAGTATTTATAGACCACACTTTACATGCAGACACATTCTAACTCGCACCATATGTGTTCAGTCAGACAGAGATTAACTTTTGTTTTGTTTCTTTCCCTTCAAACCCACGCTCCTGCTAGAGAGCGAACCAGGCTTTTTGTGTGATTGTTGCCTGTTAAAATGGAGGTTTCCTCACGCCGCTGGCACCATGTGCTCGGTCTGGCCTCCATCAGCGACAGCATATTGTGATGACAGGTGGCAGGGAGGGCCACTTTGTTGTTCAGATCCTCCAGAGCTCAGAGCCACAGAGGGCCACTTGAAGCAGACACCTGTGCTGCAGAGTCCGCGTGGCATGGCTCAGCCAGCCGGAAACAAGATTCCCTTTTCTCCTTCTGTTTGTTTATTCCCTTGGCTTTGACTGTTCTGTCTCAACATCACTACTGCTTTTCAGGAATAATGCTTTCAAGTGGCACTCGAACAAAAGCTCACATTCAAGGAAAACTATCTGTGTTCAAACTTTTCTGCTACTCCGGCCTCCATAGGGCCCACTCCCTTGTGGGAGGATGATGCTTCTTATCGTCCTGCACAGTTTTTTGCTGAAAGGTAAAAATGTGTCACCTTTGGTAGCAGTTTCAGGAAAGCCGTGAGCGGTTGTGGATGGCAGATATAACTGAGACAGACACAGCGCTGCATTCACACTCTCACAGAGGCAGGCTCTTTCACCCCTGGGGAACAAGCCTCCAGGCTCTTTTGTGTGAAAGGGATGAGATCATCGTGGGACAGACCATGGGGGATGGAGTAAGGGGTTCCACTCTGTATGCTTAGATAGAGAAAATCTCCGTTTCTCCATTTGTTTGTGGCCCTAATGTTTTCTGAATCTGTCTTAAATAGATCTGAATTAACTTTGAGGTGAGTGGAACCAGGACACCAGCCGGGTGAAGGCCATAAACACAAATCCTTAGTTCAGATCACATCATGGGAGGAACTTATCCAGTTTTATTTACGGCAATTTGATAGTTTCCTCTGCCCTCTGAGGTTATTTTGATAAAAGCATCGCCTTAGGAGCATTTGCAAGCCAGACCAGAACAAAACAGCAAAAACACTTGCCAGTGATGGAAACTCTACTTTTAGGAATGGTCAGGTCAAGAGGTCAGGACTGAAATGGATCACATTTAATTTTTATTTCAAACACAGTATATCTTAGATATCTGAAGTAGTTCCAGCTTCTTTGAAACCGTAATACGTTCCTCTGTTCTGCTACTTACAGATTCTCTAAAGAATAGCTCATTGTACTGGAGGCAGTGATTCATTACATTTGTTTGTATCTCATTACGCCTAATCTCCAGTCTTATCTCAACATATCTGGCTAGGTCTCCCCACCTGTGTGCCCCTGTGAAAGATCCCAGACTGGCCTTTAGAGGATACTGCAGCTGCTGTCACCACTGCAAATCCACCTGAAAGCCAAAAGTTCAAAATACATTCACTTGATGACTTTTGAGCTTTGCACGAGATAGTTGTGAATTTTTTTAAAGTGTACTTTTTCGCACCAAACTTGGGCTTATACTTCCAGTGTTTGGAAGTTGTTACTCTGCAGCTGTGTTTAATTTGGCATTTTTAGTCTATGTGGAAAAATTAGTTTGGATTGATTTTTGTTTTTGGTTGTCCTTTTAAAAATAAATGTGCGAGCCCAGACGGTCGCACTGATCAGTGAAGTACTACCAGGAATATCGAGGTCGTAGCTCTATGCCCAAATCTGTAATAGCTCACAGTTTTAGAGTTACCTGCCAGGCTACATGTCCACTAAAACTCCATGATTTTTTCTTGTCATGGTTCACCCAAAGAACATGACACTGGATCCACAGGGATCAGGAGTGACCGCGGAACAGGTTTTTAAATGGCAAGGGAGGGGCAGAACACAACCTTTTAGGTAGGGTCTCAAGTTTCAACACGGCCTTTAATATTATGGAATTGCAATGAAGCAGACTGACAGTCATCTTACAATTTTACCCCCTTTTAACCACTGTGTCCTGACTCCATTTGTGGTGCTTTGAGTTTATTAGCTCACCACACTTAAAGACTGTTAAATGTGAAATATATTTCTATATTAGAAATGTAGTTTTTGTCAGTGTATTTAGAGTATTAAGGCAGATGACAGAAAGTCAGCCAGACGGGACTCTTAGAGATCAGTTTCCTGACGTAGAGTAACAGGAGGCGCAGCTCAGGGTCGGGCGGCGTGGCATTGTTTAGGCAGCGTTGCTATGGCAGTGTTAGTGTTTATCTAAGGTTGGCTGTGTCAGATGGATATTGGCACAGTAGTAGGCCGCTGAGTGGAGGTAAAGGAGACTCTAAATGTTTTCAGATTTGCTGTGCAAGTACCTATCATCAGTGGAATTTGGCTCTAGTGTCCAATGCTTAATTGATCCAAAATGTAAAAGTAAAAGTGTATATCAACATAGAAAATGAACAAACATGTATTAATTAGTGTATCGTGCTTTATTCAGCCCACAGCATGCTTTGCTGCTTCTCTTTGTGTCTTTTTAATAGTGACGAAGCCTCTGCAACAGAAGACATGAAATGCTGGCTCTGCCCTCATTCTCTGGGAACAGGAAACAATAACGCAGTATTTACGCTTCTTTGTTGTATTAATTGGAAATGCCCTGAAATATCGCTCCATCATTTCCCAACCTATCAACTGAAATGGCATCAAGATGAAGCTGTCATATCCACCAGGTCTGAAATATGGTGCAAAATCATCAGCTGTACACCAGTAGTCTGGCTCCTGCTGCTCTTTGACGGGGAAAAAGGGAAATATGTTTTTACAAACGTGCTCTGAGCTCATGCTGTCAGGGTGCTGTATGGCACACTGGATTCTTGTTGTTTTACAGAAATGCAGTCCAGTTTCTATGTTTTCTGTTGCAGAAAGGCCCGTTGAAGATGTCTTGATTCATAATTAATGATGTTATCAAAAATTAGTTTAATTTTAGATTAAATCCATCTTCATTCAGTTGTTTGCATTTCAGCTACATCCTGAACCCAAGGCTCCTTTTTGCACAAAGGGGATCAAGCTTTATAGATTCATAGCAAAAATCAGTTATCTCTTTACATGCCCTGCTGTGAAAGTTATTCTCAGTGGGCTGGACACAAAGCTTTGGTTTCTTTGTATAAGTTTGCAACCGTCTGACGCACGCCCATGAAATCCTCTTCAGCTGATCCGTGACCTACTGATGAGGAGGATTTGGCCAGAAACTTTACCTGAATGCCCTGAAGAGCAACTTAATGTCAAATTTACTGCATGGCTTATTCCTGCTCTGTCTTTTTGTGAAGAGACATTAGTACAGAAAGGCCTAAAAAGCTGTCACTGCTGCAACCTTCAGAATAAACAGAATGAGTGGATCGGCCAGACTTTGGTTAGACCACATTTAACAGTGTTTTTAATTTTTTTTATTGTAGAGCAAATATGGTATAACAAGCAGTCTGCCTTTGAATAGGGTTTGACCGGTGAATAGTTACCATGGATACAATGCAGTGAATCTCCACAGGGTAATAAGTCTCAGCTCTGTCTGTAAATTGCGGTGGTGCTTCATCATGCAATGAGAGCCGAGTCCAGTCACCATGCATGAGACGTGACACAAGGAAAAAAACATGTGGAAACATTTACAAATGGAGGCTCTATTTTCAGGGACACTTTTCAGAAAAATAAAGAGATGAATCATCCTTCAAATGAAAAGAATGAGCCCTCATGGTAAATGTATAACTAGAAAAAGGACGGACTCGTTACGGATAACTGAAATGATATGTTTCAGTCAGCTGCTTGCTTGTTGCATCTTCACTGATGCACATTTATTACTTTC